GTTATTACTTTTTATACTCCTTATTTTCTGATGCTATGCAAACACCGAGTTTTTTCTGCACTGAAGACAAATTCCTTGTATATTTCATACTTGGTCAATAAAGTGTTCTCTCTCTCTCTCTCTCTCTCTCTCTCTCTCTCTCTCTCTCTCTTTTCTCTCTCTTTCTCTCTCTTCTCTCTCTCACCTCACGGACAATTCTCACAGCTGGGTGGGTGCTCTAGGGTGGGAAATGCATTTCTCCAATGATCATTTATTGTTGAAGTTTTGTCTGTTACAGTGCAAAATTTTTGAGAATGGCTTGGTCTTGATTAGTGATTAAAATATGCCAAATTATATTAAAATAGCTTGGTCTTTTGACACTTTAAAGAGTGAAAATACCAAGTAACTGGAATACAGAGAGAGAGAGAGAGAGAGAGCAAAATAGTTCCTTTACATTTTTAGGATGGCCCATTTTCAATTTTCAAAATGTATTAGATTTCCTTTTGAAGCTGCAGATAAGCAGATTACTTTAGTCACTATGAGAAACTTCCTAAACATTTTCTTCCGCCCTAGCAGTCATTATTATGGTTTAGAGAAGACCAAGAGAGAAGTGGTTTTCTGTATGCTACTTTAGCAAACATTTTTATAGTGAAACATTTAATGAAATCATCTTACTTAGTGGTGTTTCAAAAAAAAAAAAGGCATATTTTTTCCCTTTAGCATATGTTCATTGCTTTAAGGCAGATGTGTGGAGTCGATGCTGCTTCAAGCTTATTTCCAACCAATTTATAATTAATTTAGTTTATGTACTAGTCCTTCCTATCTAACAATAGTCATGGCTTCCCCCAAGGAAGTCTGGAATTTTAATTTAATGAGAACAATTTAGAATTCTAAGGGAAGAAATGAAGGCATTTAAAACATTTAGAATGGTACGTTGGGTGGACAACTTTCCCTAGCTTTTTCCTGAAGCTTATAACCTCTCGCTAAAAGCATATTTTAATAAGTGCTGGGATCAGTTTTGCTAATGCGTAAGACTGCATGCCATAACAGATTCAGGTAAAAGTCCATTGTATTTTGTATAAAAAGCAATTGAGAGGAATAAATGAAATGATTAGCATAACCAAATAAAATCCCTTTTCTTCTCCCCATTTGGTTATGGGAATAAGGCTGTTTTCCATAATGGCTCCTATTGTGCTCAGTGATGTAGCTAGTCCAATCTCTTAGCATCAATGGGACAGTTCCAACAAGTTTAGCATCAGTTACTGTTGGCATGCTGGCCCTAAGTGGCTGATTTTGCCCAATACAGTATTTTTTCTCAGTAATTTAATATATATTATTAAAATATATTTGTTATATAATAATAATATATAAAATATATATTAAAATATACAGTATCTTAATATATATTAAAATATATATTTTTAAAAACCACCAGCTTCAAGGTTTTATATTACTGTTCATTTAAAGTACGTTGAGCCAGTTATATTTATTCTCTACCCAACCTATTTCACAGTATAAGTAGTTAATAAATATATTGCTTCCAGCTTTTTTTTGCCAGAGCCCTGAAGTGTAAGGAGATAAATTAGATTGCTAATTTGCAACCACCAGTTTCCATACAGTCTTCAGGATTAACTTGAAAGAAACCAGTTGTCAAACAGTCACCCTCACCCAAAGCTCTGTGTGGTCACCAGAGTACCCGTGTGATTGCTTGTGAGTAGAATGTTGTATGAAGCTTTTCCAAGTAGGGTAAGACTTTGCTTGTGCAAAGCTCCATTAAGCCTTGGGAGTGATGTGAGAAATCATTCTGGTCTTCCAAAATTATCCTTATTTTCCTCATCAACATTTCAGAAAATATTATCCAAAGGCAATTAAACCTTTAGGCTGGTATTTTCCCTATGCTGATTTTTGTCTATAGGTTTTGTTTTGGAATATTTTATATGTAATGAAAGAGGGGAGCCCTGGAAATTAGTTCCCTTAAAAATTTTGTTGAGAAAAAGATAGACAATAATATTTAAATCTTGGTGTTTATTTCTTCGTCTTACACATCTTATTTGAAAAAAATGACTCTCTTTTAAATGTACACAATATCTGTACTGAAACTAGCCTTGTTGAACTTCATTTGTCTACCAACCCATGTTCACTATCATGGTTTCTAAAGCTGCCTTGTCAACATAGCAATATCCCCATGGAACCTGTTGCCATAGCAGTCTTAGGCATCAGCTGGTTGTCCGGTTCTCCTGCAGCTTGTTTTCTAGCTTAGGGAGCTATACTTGTCACTTCTAAACTTTTAAAAAGGGGATATCAACAAATAGGAATATCTCTTGGTGCGTCTTTGATTTCTAGAAGTAGAAACAACTATATTTGGATGATGATGATCAGTGATGATATTGTTGCATGATAAAAATTCCATGATGGAGGAATAAAAACCAGGATAAAGTACATGGAAAAATTGTACATTTTGAAATATGGAAGAAATATGTTCACTTTATATTTAGCAAGGGTGTGCTGTATTTAAAAATGTTCCATTCATTAATTTATAATTTACTGATTTTACAAAAAAGAAAATTGTATATAGTATTACTATTGCTACACACAATTTTTGTTAGAATGAGCCAGGATCAATTACTGCAGTCAACTTGGTATGTTGAGAATGCGTGTTATGTGGATTAATGCAGAGTATATCACAAAGCAATTGTCCAATTGTTTCAGTGTGTAACTGTCTAATAGGGCAAACCACCATTATTCATGCCATCCTCCAACTATTAGAATAGATTTAATCAGTTCTTTAAATCAGTGTTCACTAAATGTAGGTTGTTGATTTAGTATTCCCAGGCTTAGGTTACATAATTACCTTTCTGTTTCAAAAATTATACAAACAAATTACAGTCCCACAAAGACAGAGGTTGCATTTAAATGTCATGCTAAGTGAGAATTCTCTAACAGCATTTTCATTTCTCTCCTCAATCTCATCTCATTGTGAGAAGATATAGCCTAAATTGAGAATTCCTTTATTTGAATATGAAATATTAGTTATCCTTGTAAGTGAGATTTCAATAATGCAGTGCACTTGCTTGAACACATAGGCTCTGAACTGGATTTACATGGTAGTCATTTCCACCTATGTGTATTGCTATTTTAGGTTCTCTTATAACACCAGCTTTCTGTTCCACAGAACATGACTCAGTCTTAATTTTCCCATCCAGAAAGAGACAGATAGCTCTAGAAGATTAAACTGGCATTTCCTTTTGTGCTTCAGTAAAAGCTAATCATGAAATTTGACATCTTTTTTACATTCCTTAAGAAATTAATGGTCAGGATAATCTAATTATAGCTGAACATTCCTATCTGTGTATACTTTTGTCCGTTTTTAACATTGAGGCTGTTGGAGAATGTTGGAATAAAGAGAAAATGCTACTTGAATAGCAGTAGAACTAATGATGACTTAACATCCTCTTATTCATGGACTGGGGACAAGATGGTAAGGACAATGACAAAGTGACATGGGAAAAGTGATATTGTCAAGGCACAATTGTCCCATGGTTAAATACAAGTGGGGACCTGGCCTAAGAGAGCCATTGTGTAATAGATTGCCTTGAGAGGCAACAAATACTTTCAAAACCCTTGCTTCTAGTCTACAAAACATATAGCATAAAACTTTGCTAGCTTTAACATTCTTGTTTCATGCAGCTAACAGGACTGAGTGTCTCCAATGGAAAGGATCAGCTTGTGGTTTTCCATACAAAAGATAACAAAGACCTAATTGTCTGTCTTCTCAATATGCATTCACTTAATGAGAACAGAATTGGGGAGCTGGTTGGAGTCTTGGCAAATCACTTCAAAAGGTAAGTATGAATGCATACTTCTAAATCTGAAACAAATATGAAAGTAGACACTAAGCCAATTGATGTTTGTCTTCTTTTTGGTCTCTTTATCTACAACTTGATCCTTGGAGTTTTCCTGTCTTCTTTCCTTTCCTAATTTGAAAAAAATCTGACTTTGATCCTGCTAATGTGGGTTTGCTTTTGGCACTGCTTGATTAATTCTTATTTATTTTATTTTAAACATTGACAAAGCTGGACCTAGGTAGCATGCTTTTTTGTAAAACAGTGCAAAAGGAACCCATAAACATGATTGCTGATATCTGTCCTGAATCAAGAAATTGTATTTTGTGAGAAGCAATGTGTTCTGCTGTGCTGTACTGTATTCTCAATAGACTTTTTAGCTAGAACTTTCATTTCCTGCTCACATCCACTAGTTATATGTATTATCTGAAAAGTATTCAGCTTCTACTTTACAGTTCCTTCCCCTCCTTGTCTTAACAAAAGCTGATATTGCAGCAGCAATTCACCCATTTGTTTTGCACTCTAGTTTTTCCCTAAATATGTTTGAGGTACAGATTTAAAATATGACACACTAGGTTATTAGTAGCTACTATCTTCTCCATAGCTTAAAAAAAAAAGCACATCTTGTAATTCTGGTTGAAATTCCTATGGTTTGGGTAACACTTAATCTCCCTGATTCTGTACAACAATTTTAGTTCCTTGTGGAAGATTGGCATTCTCATGGATGTACAGTGCTGTGAGTTATCAGCCCACTACTTCATTTTGCTTGGTCCTGAGAGAGTCTGCTCTAAACAAAAACAAAGGGCCCTCAATATTAATATCTGAATCAACTTCAGTAAAGTGCCATCATGTATATAGTGGACTTGTTTTTGAGGTCATTCACTGACGCTAAATATTTTTTAAAAAAAATTCTGTCAGCTTCATAGAAAAGTGTTTGCCCTTGCCCTCTATAATGTTTTCCAACTTTGCTGTTAGAAGAGTCAGTTTGGTGTAGTGGTTAAGGTGCTGGCCTAGAAACCAGGAAACTGAGTTCTAGGCCTCCCTTAGGCATGAAAGCCGGCTGGGTGACTTTCGGCCAGTCACTCTCTCTCAGCCCAATCCACCTTGTTGTTGTTGTGAAAATTAAGTGTGTTTGAGGTACAGATTTAAAATATGACATGCTAGGTTATTAGTAGCTACTATCTTCTCCATAGCTTAAAAAAAGCATTAAGTAGGTTTGCCACTGAGTTATATATGAAAAAGGTAAGATAAAAATATAACAACCATATCCCTAAATGAGAAAGTCTTTGTCCCTATTTGTGGGAAAAAGTGGAAAGAGTCTCTCATTTGCTCCTTCAGAGTGTCATGATGAATCGATGTAATCTCTCCTTATCTTCTCTTATGCTAGCTCAGAAGAGGAATGTACTTGGCAGGAATTCTTAGGTGACAGATCTCCAGATGTTTCCAGAAAAGTCACCAAATGTATTGCAATTACTACCACTATTAGAGTCTCAATTGTCTAGTAGCTCTAGGAACCTTCATACTACCTACTTGTCTTCCCATCAGGTGTACTGAAAATAATCTAGAGCTGTGAATTCAGTAGCATTTCAGCCCTCTGTGTTTAATTCCATATTATCTGCCTTGTAAGTGCTGTTCTTCTGACCCGAGGCTTTTTCTTTGTCTGAGTTTTACATTGTCAAGTTAACGAACATTAATAATTGGAAATAAATTTTATTGCTAGAGAAAATAGATGCATTTGTTGTTGTTGTTGTTGTTGTTTGGGACTGAGGAAAGAAAGGAAAGCCTAGGGTGTGTAGAACAGCATTGATTGCTAAAAAGCAGATTATAAATGGGAAAGTTAAATCAAACTAGATTCCTGAATCTTATACTTCATTTCCTCCCTTCCAACTCCACCGTTCATTCTCATATACATACATGTGCACATGCTCACTTTTTCCCTTATTGTTCTACTCTTGAACATTTATAGAAGCATTCCCCAAAGACATATATATATATAGAGAGAGGATGAATAAAAAAGTACTTTTTAACTGACACATATAATGTACTTTCCTTCCTTCTCCCCATTTCATCTCAGAATAATAAGATATTGGCATTTAAATCTGAGATCTTGTGGTTCCCCCTAGCCCTATTGCCTAGTTGATTGGTTATAGGAATTCTTGAATAACATGCTGATGACTGAGTTCATAAGTTTCTCCCTGTGCCAGACATTGGTGCAGATTAGATGGTACTGCATGATTTTAGGAAAAGGATACATACTGTACATACAAGCATCATGCTATTCTCAGGATAAGCATGATGCTCAGGATAAGTGCAGAAAATGAGTAAGAAATAGTAAACCAAAGAAATGAAAGGCAGGGAAAAAGAAAAAAAAGAAGAAAATCCAACTAAATCTGGTTTATATCAACACAGTTCTCTGTACTTCCTCATAGTCTTCTATCTTTGCATCTGAATAGTACTGTGTAACTCCACACATTTCCACAGTACTTTGTAACATAATTCTTCTCAATCAGTTTCAAGAAGTTTCAGCACCATTTTCCTGTTTTCCATTCATTCACTTGGGAGCTAAATTAACAGATTAATACTTCTTTTTCATGCAGAACTTTCAGTTTTCTTTCTGCAGTTTTCTTCCATGTCCATTTTTTCTGAAGTTCTACTTTCAACACTAAGTGGTCTGTCCTGCATTCAAAACCTTTCATCACTCATGGATCCTTCATTAATTCTCTCAGTCTTTCATCACAGTCAGTCAAATACTGCTTTTAGATTCATTTTTTGGCCATATTCAAACCAGCTAATCTTTTTCTAACCAGATGCCAAGCAACAATCATTCTCATTCATTCTTGGGTCTCCTAATGGCTGAATCACCTTTTCTGTATGCTGCCATCTAATTTCCACCCATCCATTCTATTTAACTAACAGGATGACTTGCATTCATTCAGAATGTTGCACAACTTTTCTTCAGGTCACAATTCTGATCAGTTGGCACATTTTGACCAGTATGCCTCACTTGAATCCTGAATTTTACCCCAGACACACTTATGTTATAAGTGTTATAAGTGCATCTTGCTGGTGCTCAACAAAGGATGAATTTGACTGAACATGGGTTAGAGCCGCTATTAAGGCCTACCTTGTGGCGGTAAGAGCTGTGAAGTGCCAGTACTTCTCCACCCTTAACTGTGTTTGCAGATTGCCACCCCCAGCCCTGGTTCAGGTGACACAAGCCCTCTTGGGTAAAGGGGTCTTACAGGAGGTGTGGAGGAATTTGGACAAAATTGTTCAGATTCATTCCCAGTTGGACGCCAGCCTTGTTGCAGGTCCAGGGGAGATGCCTGGGGAAGAGTCTTGCCTGGTTATCGGGGAACAATTTGAAGCTGTTGGACCTGAGGAAGTGGACAAGGCTCAGCTACCTGCTCTTTAAATCCATGCGCCTACTGGCTTGTTAAAGTGGCCCAGGGGGTGTCGTGTGAGTGGGTTCTAGCTGTTATTAATTCTTCTTTGAGTGAGGGTATTGTTCTTTTACCTCTTAAAGAAGGCTTGGTTTACCCCTTGCTCAAAATGCCATTGCTGGACCCCACCATACTGGACAGTTTTCATCCAGTATCCCACCTCCCCTTTTTGGGAAAGGTGGTTGAGAAGGTGGTTGCACAACAGCTTCAGAGGGCCTTATATGAAGCAAATTATCTGGATTCTTTTCAGTCAGAATTCAGGTCAGGGTACAGGATGGAAAAGTGCATTGGTTGCACTTTTGAATGATCTCTGGTATGGGCAGGATGGGGGTTGTGCATCCATTCTTGCCCTGCTTGACTTCTTGGCGGTTTTGGATACCATCGACCATGGTATCCTTCTGAATTGGCTCAGAGGACTGGGGGTGGGGTATGGTGTTGTACTGGTTTTCCTCCTTTCTTTGGGGTTGATTCCAGTCGGTGATGATTGGGGAGAAGAGGTCCCGCCCTTGGCCTCTACTATGTGGGGTGCCTCAGAGCTCAGTGCTCTCTCCTCTCCTCTTTAATATCTACACGAGGCCACTGGGTGAGCCCATCTGTCACCATGGGGTGAGATGATGTATCATCACCAATGATGTATCTCCACCCCTGGTGAATTAAGTGATGCTGTGAACATGTTATCCTGGTGCCTGGAGGCTGTGAGGGTCTGAATGGGGAACAACAGGCTTCAGCTGAACCCTGGCAAGACTGAGTGGCTCTGGGTTTTGGGGGCTACTAGTTTGAGGACTATGCCATCTTTGGTTCTGGATAGGGTTGCACTGCCCCAGATCAACCCAGTGCGCAATCTGGGAGTCCTCCTAGACTCATAACTTCTGCTCAAAGTCACTCATGCCCTAGTCATCTCCAGATTGGACTACTGTAATGTGCTGTACACGGGGTTGCCCTTGAACTGTATCCGGAAGCTTCAACTGGTACGGATTGTAGCAGCACGGGCAGTTATGTGTGTTCCTAGAACAGCACGTGTTACACCTCTGCTCCGCAAGTTGCATTGGCTGCCAGTTTGTTTCTTGGTCCCATTCACAATGCTGGTGTTAACCTTTAAAGCCCTTCATGGCATGGGACTGGGTTATCTGAGGGACCACCTCCCTGCCGATTAAATCAGTCCATCCCATTAGATCAGGCAGAGAAGGCATGCTGTGGGTACCATCTGTCAGGGATTTACATTTGGTGGGTCCCAGGAGGCAGGCCTTTTCTGCCGTGGCACTTGCCTTGTGGAACATTCTCCCCCCTGCAGAATAGGTTGGCTCCATCCCTCTTGATATCCCTCAAGACCCGGTTATGTCACCAAGTCTGGGGATCCCAGGGAACTGGAAACATGCTTAGAAGGCTCCACTCCCAAGGTAGATGTACTCAATCTCTCCATGCCTATAAATTTGATAGATAGATAAGATAGATAGATAAATGTTATTCTATGAAAGCTAGAATCTCTCATCTAAAGATAACCTGAAAGCCAACTTACAGTTACCCACATCCCACATGAAGTACATGATGTGAACTGACACACTTGAGATGCAGAAGGAA